CCTCTCTGAGAGATGTCCACATCAACCAAGGACACAGTCTCTCCTGTGACCAGACCCACAATACACAACTTAATGACAAGAGCCATAAGAACCACAACATTCAATGTTATAGCATAATTCCAAAGACTGGCCTAAAATGAGACTAATCTCATCCAAATCGTGTGTCTGTGTCATTATATTTCCCATGCATTGTGTAAGCTCATTAGTGGTTTGCAAATGTGCCTTCATTTAATGTATTCCAAGGATTCCTTTAGCTTCCACCCCATTATGCTTCCTTAAATCTACGTTTACCTGTAAAAGCGGGAGTAAAAGAGGCCGCAGAAAAGGCACTTTGTGCCCTTGTTAGTCCAGGTTGGCTGCAGAAAGAAAATAAGCAATTTAAATTATAAGCGTTTAAGAAAGACGACATATCAATTTTCATTAATTCTGTTCTGTATCTCAAGTTATTGTACCATTTTTAGTCTAGAATGAGCCACATTGATAACTACTAAAATATGTTATTTTTTAAAGTACAAGTTGATGATGAAATGAAATGTATTTTATGATCTAAAGTTTATGACAGAAAATATATATTTTTAGTTGAATATTTATGAAGTGACACAATTTATGTTTAGAAAGAAAAGTGCAAAAAGTGTCCCATTTCCTGATTAATTTCAATCACCAGTATGTGTGAGGGGCTAAATCTTTGATTGAAATGTTAACTGTTTTAGGGACACATTTAAAGCTGCACAACATGCAGAAAGGCCATAGGTTAAAGACCATAGTTTCTAAGTAAGTAAACAATGAATGCTAATATGCCATGTGTTGTTGCATACACAATTTCCAATGTGTTTTTGGAAAGAGGTTTATGATTTAATAGTAAATTAAGGTCTGTGTTGTTCTACAACTCAAAATTACACACAAATTTGAAGCTACTGTACAGACAATAGGTTACTAACCATGTTTGGACTACAATGGTTGTCAGAGTTGGGAAAGTTACTTTGGAAATGTAATAGGTTACAGATTACAAAGTTACCCTATTTAAAATGTAATAATTAGTGTAACTATTTCAATTAGCTACTTTATTCATGTAACTGGTTAGATTTGATTACTTCCTAATTACTTTTCTAAATTTATAACAAATGTTAATCATTTTGAAACATTTAAAGCAGGCATGGTTAATCAAATCCTTGCATATGACAGGAAACAGTGACATCTAACAATGCATTGGGAAAAAAATGTTAATCTTAAAAAATAAAGCATATACACAAACCCAAATAGGAAATTAATCAGTTAAGCATGTGTCCTATTCTGTCCTAAACTCCTGAAACATTGGTGTCTCATATTTTAAAGCAGTCAATGCAATTTGTGAAAGAAATCAATCATATCTGTATGTGTGTGAAAATATTGTGTAACCCCCTTTAATCGATAAAAATTTTTTTCAGTAACTATATTACAGTTACACTTATTTTGTAATTAAATGTAATGTAACTAGTTACTCCCCAACACTGATGGTTGTCCTATTCATTAAGCAATATTTTTAAAAAACTGCTTTTAAATTTTGATTTAAGGTGTGTGGTTTATTTTGTATGAAAACAAACACGAAATTGTCCTCAAATTATACAGTATAGACATAAAGTCACAGGAAAACATGTATACGTGTAAATAAAACTAGGCCTATACAAAAGTTCAAAGCTCGAGTATTTCATCAAGGTTGTTTTGGGCGGAAGGACTCACCTGGCCGTGTCTTGTTCTCCACCGCTCGCTCCGGACATGTCAACTAAACTGCCCGCCGAGGATATGGAGAACGTGACAGAAGGTCTCTTGTCCAAAAGGTTGTTAGAGCCACTACAGCTTTTAGTTCTGAAAAGTTTACTCAGACGGATTTTAAGCGAGCCCTTCCTGGATTTCCCTGGTACTTTCAGAGTCTTCTCTCCTCCGCTCGCAGCGGAAAGATGCGCCCGGGTCGCGCTCCGGTCCGGCCGGGTCTTCGGCGTCGACGCCTGGCTGGAGCACGGGGTGCCCTGGCTGGGTTCAGCTTGGGACGGGACCTCTGGAGTCAGTCTGTCGCTGGCAGGAGCCTGAGGCCTGGTGTTTACCGAGTCTCGTAACAAGCAACACGCCGGCGAGCAAAGTCCCCCCGACACCACCGAAGGGAAACACTTGAGCGCAAAAGCACCCGGTTCCGCGTTCTGAGACTCGGTCTTCTGGCACGCATTGATGCCCAGGCCGTTCACCTCCTCTGACCCGAGGCCCTCCAGTACCAGCAGCGCATCGCTGGTCTCGGTCGGGTCCTCTCCCTGTCTGATACCAGCCGAGCCGAGCACGCTTTGACACGAGCAGCGCTGCAGCTCGCCATCCTTGAGCAGAAACTCGGGAACCGGAGCGACTCCCAGCTCGCCGAATTTCCTCGCCAGCTCCAGCACAGGACCGTCGGGCAGCTGATGGAGGTGCCGCTGCGCCGTCACCGAGCTCGCTTTGTGATCCACCACCGGCGGCCAGTCTTGGTTGTCGGTGATCAAGCGATGCCGGTGGCACAGCTCGGCTCCATCCGTATCCGTAGCAACCGCTGGCAGCTTGAGCTGCGGATGCAGCGTCCATGTAGGCGGATGCTGAGCATCCACAGCGCCAGACTCGGAAGCGAGCGCCGCTTGGTCCTCAAAAGCCCTGCGCTGATCCTCCGAGTTGCTCTCGGCGAATCCCTCGGAGTCTCTCGATATGTTTCTGAACACCAACAGCTGAGGCCCCATTCCACCTCGGTGGGTGAGATCGTAACTGTGGGCCTCGGCTGAATGAAGAGGAGGCGGCGGCGCAGACAGCGCAGGTCTGGTCGCCATCACTCCCGAGTCAGGTGCCTCCGTTCCGCTGGCCTGCGGAGCTTTGTTCACCGCCGAGATGTGGCCGTGATTCTGCGTGCATTCAAAGTTCCCCTTGATAGCCACCGACGACAGATTCCCATTCTCCTCGTCCAAGCGGTCATCCTCTGCCGCGGAGACCAGGCGCATCAAGACAAAATCGGGAGACATATCTTGCGCGTTGTTCATTATTATTCCTCAATATACTGAAGGAATGAGCGATATCAGCGTTTCACATTGCTTCCAGTCATGAGATCTCGCTCGTGTGATGATGGTGATGATGATGGTAAATCCTCTTGGTGTTAGTTAGTTAGCCCCCTCATTCAGCGCCAGACAATTAGTGCATATAAACTCTATTTCAGTCGTTCCTTCAACATTGCGCACGTCCTCGTCTCATTTCGCGTCCGGCCTTAAAAACCTCCACGGGTATTTGTAGGGTCATACATAACGCTTCGTTTCACGCAATCCTAACGGCGTCTGTGGTCACATTACTGTCGAGGCCCCACCCGCTCGCTCACTTCCGCAAATTCGATGCGTTTCTCGTTTGGTCTTATCGGTGCCATTGCTGTCCAGTTGGCTGCAGGCTATGTGCTGTAACGGTGCTTTCATGTCATTTACCGCGCTGTTGTCTGGAAGATGGCCTTACCCACTGATGTTTATGATGTAGTGGCATCGCCTTTCCGCACGATTCCAGCGCCAGCGAAACTCTCCCTGCAAATCGGTTGCGTTATGAGTCAAAGACAAATGACTTGCATGATATCATCATTTGAATAATGACTCTAATCCTCTTATAGCTACTAAAAACGTAAAGCATTGTGTCAAACACAAGGCCTACAATCAAGAGAATATCAAATATCATGCTATACTTCATATTATGTAGCATGTATAAATATAACTTAATTAAACAAAAAATGCATTGGTTTTATTTGATTTTTTTCGTATTATTAACGCATAATATGGGGTATTTAACCAACAAGGTTTATATAAATTTAAATGCCAGAGTTTTCATTTAATGCATTTCAATTAATGTTATAGCCCAATAATTTAGCAACATTCATTTTAGTTTTAGATGGAACATAGCATGTCAATCTGCAGGACACGTCAACTTTCCAAAGTATTGCATGTCATCTACGCCTATAGATCATTGTACGTATGTATATGGCTATTAAAAGGCATATAGATATTCAATACAGTTATTGTTTACATTCACCCATTGTTCTGTGGTCAAGACTTTTCATTCGCGCTGTATTTGTGAAATGCGATTTCATTGATGGACCGAATGGTGTCGCTGTACACAAACATTTACACATGCCCACAAGAGCCCTTTAAAACCTGCCATCTCATAACACGAAGCGTGGATTTTATTAGTTATGGGTTTACACAAATATCAAGAAGAAAATGTGTTTTCACAGAACGTTGTCAGAGGAATATTACATGCGTTGACTACATCCTCTCCAATTAAATGCATACAACTGCGCACAAAGCTGAACACACATATCCATCCATTAAAAAAAACATTTGCACAATTTATTTTTTTGATTATTGTGTGCATGTATATAGATGCACATATGTCTATACACACAGCCACAGCCTCTGCAGTCCTGAGTGGGGGTGGGGCCCCACAGGAATGAGTGTTGAATCTCAGAACCCTGTTGCCATGGCACCAAAACAAGGATTTGCCTGCATTACCCAGTATGACTGAATTTGTCTGAATCATCTTTCTGTCTCTGACACACACACACACACACACACACACACAGAGATCTGACAGACGTTCATTCATGTAGAACACATGTGGAACATGTTTTCTTCTTCCTTCATTTTTTTAATTTCCCTGATTGTTGCACCAAACGTTTGGCACTTCAGAACGCAGTTTGTCTATCCGAGATTAACATTTCAGTGCACTTTATCTGCCAGGCAGATGCAGATTTGTAAACCGCTGCATGCACATATTCACAGATGCACAAAGTCGCACGCACGTACACAGTCCGTAAAAGACCACTCATGACTGAACCAGCCGGGGAGTGTTGGGTTAATCCACAAAGCGGTGAGATTCTGATGCATACCCCAACACAGAGGATTACCCTCCCATCCTCTCATCCATCAGCCCATCCTCATGCACATACACTCATCATAACAATCCAACATTAACAGATGTGCCACTCTCAGCGCTCACCACTACCGGGAGATTGGGAGAGATGGGAGAGAGGGAGAGATTTACAGGAGGGCTGCAGAGTGAGTGAACAGGTAAGCAGAGAGAGAAACGGGTATGTTGACGGTTTCTCATTGATCTCTGTTTCTCACTCCAGTTTCTTGCAGGTTCCAGCATCGTCGCATCCAGGGTGGACCCGACCCACTGATTGCAGGATGCATGGAGTTTAAGCATCGCCTGCTCTTTGAGCTTCTCCTTCACCTTCGAAAATGAATAGTGCATGTCGGTCCGTGTATGAATGCACACTTATCTGTTTGTGAAACCAAGACGCTGTTGGCAGCAAAGTGCGGTTGAACTCTATCACCACTGACACCTGTCAATCAGCTAACAAGAAGAGGAGAGAAGAAACAAAACCAGGGATAGAGAAGAAAAGAAGGCCAAGCATCTTTCAGGATGTGAGTAAGCACAAAGCTGATCTTTACCTTCACAAAAAGCATTGGAGGAGCAGTTGCTTCAAAGATGGGCCTGTGTGTTGGTCTGCTACCTCTACTGCTGCTACTTCCCATCCTGCTCTCTGCTCAGCTCACCACTGTGTCTGAACTTGAGGACACGTCCAGCTTGGAGTTCACCCCAACTCCTTGTCTTACTGACCCAAATACTGTAGCAGGGAAGAACTCGTCTTCCAGTGCTCGACCCACCAGTCCGGCTCCAGTAAAAGCGAGCACGGAGGAGGACCAGTCTGCCGCGGAGAGCTACCTCTACACTGGCAATTCGTCTTCTTTGGCTGCCGCTACCTGCACACGGAGTTTCCAGCTGCCTGTTCGACTGGGATCTCCGCCTAGAGACCTTCTCTCTCTCTTGCACCAAGCCATAGCGTCTCTGACCAATGCTGCCAACTTTCTCAACCTGATATTCCAAGCTAGTGAGCTGAGAGAAACGAGTGTACGAGAGGATATCGAGTGGTACCATGCACTGGTGCGGGCTATGCTTGAAGGGGACAGGCCGGGCCTGGTCAGACGAGCTTTTCTAACATTCGACGCCGACCCCACGATCCAACAGCCCCAACTGGTGCTCCGTGCCTCCAAAGGCACAACCCAGGACATTCTTCTGCAGGACCTGACGTCTGCCTGGAGCAGCTTCCATCCTCCTGCACCTGACCAAAGCTGGTTCGATATGTTTAAGTCTAGCTCTCCACCCCTCCATGCCTTGTCGAAACGGGTTCTTCTAAATGACCTAAGCACCCTAGACACTCCCAAGTGGGCACGTGGGGATAGTTATGTGATCAATAGCAGTGGGGTTCAGTGGGGCGAAGCCCCTTTCCTTGAGTGCATTGATGGCCGTTTTTTGCCAGGGTGGTTACTCAGTCTCTCAATGCCATTTTATGGGTTGAAGCCAGACCTCAACCCAGAGTTCAGGTGAGTGCTGAAATGGTTTCTCGTTTTTGTGTGTTCAAGTTTGTGTACTCATAATGTCTTTAAAATATTTCTTAGTGTCAATTCACTTGAAGGGATCATTCATTTAAAAATTGACATTCATTATTCTTCTGTGAAATACAAAAGAAGATATTTTGAAGAATGTTTTTTGTCCATACAATGAAAAGGAACAATTCCATATTTTATAGACAAAAACGATCTTCTTTTGTATTTCATTGAAGAAAGAAACTCGTCAGATTTGGAACGACACAGCAGAATGTCCATTTTTGGGTGAACTATCCGATTAATTTAATTTCAAGTCTTCCATCATTAGTGTATCTTTGCTTTGGTGGTGTAGGGGTGTTATCCGTGTCGACTTCAACATCCAGGGATTCAATGTGGATCAGTGTGCCAGTGGAGACTTCTGGTTTGCAAACACACATCAATGTAATCGGACCAGCATGGAGGTGAGTGTACTGTACACTGAACACAAATTCAATCATCTCATATAGGACTTACTGTAGACACCAAGGGCTTCCAGTGTCATCAAGTTTAATCAACACTTTACAATAAGATTCAACTTATTAACATTATTTAAAGGGATAGCTCGACCAAAAATGAAAACTTTGTCATCATTGATTTCCCTCGCGTCATTCCAAACTTTTAAGACTTTCCTTTGTTGTGCGAAACATAAAAAAGATATTTTGAAGAATGTCTCGGTGTTTAGTATTAAAACATATTAGTACATTTAGATTACTAAAATGCTGTAAGATTGTTAGTTCATCGTGTTTTCATTGTCAAAATGAAAGAAAAAAAGAGAAACTTTAACCCACAATGAATGCAGCAATATACAGTATAATAAGCTGTTTTTGCTTGGGTGGATTTCACTAACCAGGGACAAGCAGGGCCAAAACACATTCAGAGATCCACTCAAAACGCGGTGAAGTGATTTATTTTTGTATGTGTCTCTGTGAGCATGTTTGATTCTCCACTGCAATCTATAATGTTAGCAACTGAATTTTGTTACCAGCTATGCTTTCCTCTAATATTCTTCCTGTAAATTACATCACAAGATCAGTTTTTTTGGATTGATGCTCCTTAAAAAATTTATACCTGGATCAAAAATAATAATTATTTCATTTACTCCCCCTTACGTTGTTCCAAACCTGTATGACTTTCAACATAAAAGACGACAAATTAAGAAATGCGTTTTTTTATTCATACAGTGGAAGTCAATGATAACCAAAACTGTTTGGTTACCAACATTCTTCAAAATATCTTCTTTTGTGCTCCACTGAAGAAACTCATACAGGTTTGGAATGACATGAGGAGTTTTTATTTCTGCATGAGCTATTCTTTTAACTTTAAAACCACTCACTGTTTCATTAAGCCTGTTGCCATCAGATCTGGCATCTCGCTATGTATATTATCTAGATATTAAGTTTGAAATCCATTAGTAATCCATCACCTGCTTTGCTCATTATTTCGCTGGATTGTTATATATGTTTACCATTTTCAGTTTTCTCCCACTTTCATCCAGACCTTCTATTTAAAGATGTGAGCACTGGGTGCAGGATGATCTGAAGGATTAGGTTGATAATCCTGTGATGCTCACACACACAGCACCCCCATCCACCCGACTCCGACCCCCTCCCAGAGGGCACAAGCTCATACACCCCCCTTTCACAAGACCCAGACCCCCCCATCGTCCCGTCCTACCAGAGCACAAGCTCACAGGTGTTGGCAGGTTAAGCAACGGCAGGATTTGGCACACTGAACGAATTGAATGAGAATTGAGTTGATCCGCCTATAAATGAAAGGAGCAGCGTATTCATAGAACAGTGTCATGATGATGCATTCATTACATGAAACATTAGTTTGACATGATGCATGATATAATCCCATGAATAAGGTTACATATGATGTCACTTAAGAATCATGTTCTTAAGTGAGTTGCCTGATTAAATAAAGGTAAAATAGAAAATAACATAAATGTATGTGAACAGTGCTGGATTTCCCTGAATAAAAAGATAAAGCTCTGTCAATGGAGGTATTACCCCTCCATTTAGGATTTAGCTTAGATGAACTCAGAGTGAGTCTGATGTGTGGGTCAGCCGACTCTCGCAGATAAACCGCTGATGAGGGACTGACTGCACATGCAATTAATGGCAGAAAGCAGAGAGAACACAATCATACTCAGTCGCTGGCAGGAACATCAGTGTTGATTTCCCCTTTCTGGGAGCAAGACATTTGCTTACCGCTGAAGGTAAACACGTGAGCAGACTTCATGTCTCTTTCTTTCTCTTCCCCTCAGTGTGAATCCATCCCGCAACAGGGCTTCCGGATGGGCCAGTACTGCTGCCGATGTAAAAAGGGCTACTACAGTCCAAATCCAGACACAGAAAACAAAAGTAAGAATCTTGAAACGATCAAAAATCAGTCACAGAGACAGTGAGTCTACAGTGGCTTCAGTCTTATTTTATTGGATAATATATAGCTAACATGGTGACTTATAAGAGTACCTGAATTATTTATTAAACTTAAGTTATTTGTATTTTTGATAACCCTAGTGAAAAATAAATATACTAAAATGGATTTTGAATTAAAACTTAAACTTTGAATTAAAACTTGCAATTGTACTTTCAGTATACTAAACTGCTATACTTAAAGTCTGCCAAATTGGAACAACTAATTTTGTGCTTAATGCACTTTAATTGTGTGGAAGTATAGTGCTGAAGTCCAACTAAAGACATACTGAAGTATATCTGATTGTGCTAAAGTGGAACTATTGCAAGTATACTTCAGGTACACTTTAAATATCTTGCATTTAAAGACTGATTATTGATCACTAAAATATGACACTATCCTCATCATCAGTGACATTAAAACACATTTTAGGCTTAATATTAAGAAATGTGCATTGTGCACAAGTAGTACTCCAAATAAAGTTTAATGATAATTTATATATCAGTAAGTCTCGAGTGATATGTCAGTAAATATGTTAATAGATTTGAACTATACGTAGTATGAAATAATGTATTTAAAATATATTACTTCTTTACTAAGAAATTAAGCTGTATGATCATTATAGCTGAAAGTATTTATTTAAAATTAGATGCTAAAAATTTTAATTAAAAATAAAAAGCAACAACTGCTTATTAATCACTGATTGTCAAGTTAGCTGCAGTTTAGGTTTTATTTATTTATTTATTAATGATTGGACAATGGTCAAAGTTATAGTAGCAAGGCAGTAAAAGATTAGCTTTGACACGATTTTTGACCAAAGTAAATCATTAATGCTTAAATATATTCATATATATATATTTTATAATTAAGCTATATGATTGTTCTAGGTTAAAGTATTAACTTAAAATTAAATGTTAAAAATTAAATGATTGACTGTCAGGATCAGCCGTTTTATTTATTTCTTTATCTATTATTCATACAACTATGTGTGTGTGTATATATATATATATATATATACACACACACACATACATACATACATACACACACACACATATTGTTATTATTTAATTTGCTTTTTAAATTCATTTAATATTGATATTTTCATTTAAAAATTCATTTTCTTAATTTAATATATTATTATTATTTAATTCGCTTTTTTAGTTCATTTAAAATTGGTTCATTTACAGAATAAGAAATGAGAGTATATGGTGTTACAGGGAACAACCGTTTGAATAGTACCCGAGCTTGTTACCCAGAAGTCCCTGTGTGTCTGCCCTGTTGGCCCGGCTGTGATGAGTGCGAGGATGGAGCCCCGTGTTGGGTGCAGGAAGACTGGCTTCTGAGGACGGGTGTCCTGGCCGTGCAGGGCCTTTTCATGCTCCTTGTGCTTATCAGCATGCTGGTGGCATATCAGTGCAGGAGAACCAAGGTACATTTTTAGCACATGATTAATCAGATATGCTATATATACTG